AGAGAGAGAGAGAGAGAGAGAGAGAGAGAGAGAGAGAGATGTGCTTCTGTGTTTCAAACTTCCATAAAATTGGTGAATTTTTTACTGGTTGGGTATTCAAGAACCGTCCTCATATTCTCTTGGGGAGATGAGAGAAGGTTTCGCTTCTTGGCCAGAGCATAGCCTCTTTGGTTGGAGAAGCCCGAAGAATTTGTTGAAGAATTTTTTGGGTTTTGTCAAATTGTGTTGATTTTGTCTATTAGCTGATACGGAAGTATTCATCCACTTTGGCTGAACTTTAATGTCACAATTTTGCTTCCTATGACATCATGCTATGGCCCTTATTTTTCTTTTTACTTGCCGTGCATCTAAGTTTTTTTGCATCCATTGTTTTCTTTTTCTCCTTAAAAATTCCATGCAGGGTTTTGTAACAACTGGTGCAATCAGACTCGCCCTTGACAATCCCCAACTCTGGGATATATAGTTGCTATATAAATAGTTATAATTGGTTCTTAATTGATTTAATTTTTGACTAAATCAATTATAATTGACTATTTTGCTTCAAGGAATATTATAGATACCTCCCAAATTGGATTTTCTAGACATGGCCCCCTCCCTTTCTCTACCAAAAAAAAAAAAAGTACTTTTGATACCACACTATTAACCGAACATTGTTGTTCTTTGCACCCAACCCACCCTCTCCCCTAAGCAAAAATGGTGACTGTTTTGGACCAAAATGCCTTCATTTTAACCCACACTTCCCACTCTCCCTCTCTCTAAGCCTGTCCGGTACAACTTGAATACACAAGCAGACTCGCACAATTTCAAATATGCCGGACCGACACGATTTCAATATAAGCTGGTCCGACTCATTTTGTGCCAGATTGACATAATTTTAATATTAGAAGCTGGTCGGCACATTTTGTATATGATTAGCACTTTTCCAAAAGCCGCACCGGCACATGTTAGGCCTCATATTTTGGAAACATGGGTTAAAATGGGGTGTTATTTTGGTCTAAATTTTTACTTTTTTATTTTTGGGGGGCGGATGCCAAAAAAAAAAAGTATTGGGGTTAATAGTGTGATATCCAAAATATATTTTGGTTGTTTTTGGTTTTTGTTTTTTTTTTTTCTATAGAGGGCGTGGGAGCATATGCCTAGAAAATACAAATTGGTGGTGTATCTATAATTTACCCTTGGTTTTAATTATACTTTTTTATGGTTTTGTGTTTTTTACTATTTTTTCTATTTTTTTGGAAAGAATGTTTAACCAATTTCTTTTTTTTTTTTAAAAAAAAGAAAACAAATCGAAAACTCCTTTCTCATCTTTGATATACTTTTTCTATTGACTTTTTTGGTTTTCCTATGTTTACCATTTTTTATTTCTTTATTCTTTTGTTGTTGTTGTTGTTATTTTTAGCTCATTAGGCTGCTCAACATACTCTCTCATGACTGGACTCAGACTCACCCGAATAACTCTGCCAGGCCAATGGCCAACTTTCTGCGGCCAAGCTGAGTTCTAATTTTGTAGCACACTTTTTCTAACTAAAGAAATTACAATGTAGACTTTCCACCTACTATACGATTCAATTTAATTAAAACACAGTTTGTCCGCCTATTATACAATGTGAACCAAGTTATTCACCTTTCTTAGGGTAGTTGCTCCATTCATTTCTTTCAACCCCTATGCTCATGTTTTCTCTATGAACTCCTTTTTCTTGCTAGTGAACTCCTTTTTAATATGAATTCTATTTGCTTTATGTAATTACTTGCTCAAAAATTCTGCTTCTGTTTTTTTTATCTCTTTTCTGTAGAGTTAAGGCCCTTCAAGGGTAGGGAACCATTTATATTGTGATCATGAGGGGCTTTTGACAAAGTAATTGTGTACTTCAAGCCTTCCCAATAAGTGATCTTTTGGGATGAAACCCCCCTGGTTTTAAGAGTGAAACAAAGTAAAAAAATGACAACCCACAAATCGGGTGCTATGTACATCACAAAATTGGGTAGTTCATATAAGTACTATTTTAGAAAGTTCAGTGTTGGATGTTTTATTGATCATCCGTGACTCTGTGAGTGTGGCAGTTGTCTTCCTTGTGGGCATTTATTTGGACACTCATGCATAGAAGCATGGATTCAAAGATGTGGGAAATCTGATGGGAAGGTAGTACTTTTGTTGTGTCAATGAAGGAAACAGTTGCCTTTTCTGTGGGATGCCCACTAATAGTTTATTTACTTCTTATTTGATGTGTTTGCATTTGGTTGTTGACAGTGTCCACAATGCAACAAGAAGTGTAAAGTCAAAGAAATAACAAAGCTCTATGCGCCATGCATTGCCGTTGCTGACGAAGATTGCAAACAGGTTGGACAGTCACAGTTGGCCCAGTTTCACAGTAACTAAATAATGTATCTCAAGTTAGTGTGAACTTTTTGACCAAAGAAAATGGTAATCTTGCATTTGTTTTGTTAATTATTTGATGTTGCTTATTTTCTTGTTGATTGGCAGGAAATGGTCACTCTTCAGGTCAAAAATGAATCTCTTGAGTTGCAGGTATTGCCAAAATGCAACATGCTAGGATCTTAATGTATTCCTTGAGATGAGCTCTCAGTAAATGCGTCCTTAGCAAGTCATCATGATTGTTAACTCACCTGCTCAGTTAGGTTGTCAAATAGAATGTAGTTCCCCCTCTTGAGGCAGAATGACACATAAAATACTTTTACAACACAATGTACTTGTTCTTCTGTTTTCTGTGTTCTTTCTGGTTTATTTGGAAATACTTTCCATTCTAGAAATGCTTTTCAAATACTTGTTCTATATTTGTTCTGCTTCAGTTCTGCATTTTATTCTTGGATTAGGGTAGAAATAATTTTCCCCTGTTACATAATTACACGCAATTCTCTTCTGGACCTTGTATAGTTTTTGGGTATTCCTAGGTTGACACTGGTAGGATGAATGAGACCTATTTACACTTTAAAAGTTGTGTAATATATGTTGTACATATTTATCAATGGTAAAAAGTCGGCTGTGGTTGGGATTCCGCCCCTTCCCAAGCTGAGTAACTCGGGTGAGTACGAGTGGACCAGCTCGAGTAGTTTACGGGCCCAAACAGAGCTAAAAAAATGCAAAATAAAATTTAAAATATGCTAAATTAAAAAAAAGAAGTAAAAAGCAAAAAGAAATTGTAAAGTGAATAAAAATCTATTAAAGATGGAAAAAACTATATAGAAAATGGAATTTGGAAAAAATTGATTCGTAGCTTGAAACAGTTCTGATCCAAAAAAAAGGGAAATAGAAACACAGAGCATACAATAAGAAAAACTCACAAATCATCCTAAAAAACAGCAAAACTATGTAGAGTGATTAATAAAAATATAATTTTTATGGTTTTGTTTTTTAGATTTTCGAGTTGTACCCAGGAACTCGGCTCTGCAGGCTGCCAAGTTCAAGTAACTCGGTTGAGTATGAGTTGACTTGGTCGAGTCTTTAAACACTGATATTTATAGCACCCTAAGGATGTGCCATTCTGGAATAATGTGCTGCAAAACAGGGTTTAAACTTTTAATTTGTTAAATATCTCCAACTCTTTGAATTGTTTGTGCTTGTGGGATGATTTCTCAAGGCCAATCCTCATAATGAGATTTTTGTCAAAATAAATTTTAAAAATGGTGTTATCGGTTCTCCTCCTTGAACATTTTTGCAATTATTATCATCTCTACTGATTCAGCTTCTATGTAATACAGCCAAAGCCTGGTCTCAGTGTTACTTTGATTGTTTGATATATGTCTCCAAATTTCAGATGAGATTGAGCCACGTGCTTGAGTGGTTAGTTGTTTACAATTGGAGCACCACAACTCTGTTTCTAGTTGCCGTCCTAACCTATTCCAAAAAAGAAAAGATTAAAAATGATTTACCTTCCTGATTGTATGGATCATATCTTAGAAGTTCGAATTCAGTCAGAAATAAGTGTTCTTCAGAGAGACAGATTTTTTTATCTTTATGCCCTGTATCTGCCCCCTGTCCCCTGCTTCTTAATAATAACATAATGACTATATTATATAATTTCTTCCTAACATGCTTCTAGCTTGTGATGAGTAATTGATAGTGAAAAAACTTTCTGATTTTTATTGATATATCAATTTGTATGAATAGTCATTGCCTATGTAGCGACTTGTTTTTTTACTTTGTTTTAGCTAAGTTCATATATATCAGTTGGAGCTCCATATTTTAAGGTTTAAGTAGACGGAAACGGCCGCCTGGATGTCTGGGGTTACGAACCGCCTGGGTGGAGGAGGAGGGGGGGGGGTGGGGGTGGGGGTGGGTGTGGGGGTGGGGTGAGTAAAGTGGGGGCATGGGGTTTTCAATTATGGAACCTAAATACCTAGAAACTAAAATTTACACGTTACAAATATAGAATTGTAAGTTGCCCAAAATTTGACATCCATTAACTAGTTAAGCGAAAATACAAAGTCAAATAACATAAATGTAGATCCATAAGCATTTCAAACATCACTTTAAACTTCAAAGCTTTGAAGTTCAACTTCAACACATTCCACTACCCTAAAAAATTCCAACACATTCCAATTTTCAAAATTCCAAAGTTCCATATATTCCAACGCATTATATTATTGAATTTTGATTTTGCACTATCAAGTAGAAGCATAGCCAAACATACCCAAAAATCTGTTATAATCACAAAAGTAGGGGTAGCGAACCCTTAAAAAAAGGAAAGAAAAGAACTCAAGAAGTTTCATCATAAATGTCAAGCCAAACTTCAATGATAAATACAATAAACTTGCCTAAAAAACATAACATATTACAATACTCACACAAAATATGAATCCTAAACATAAAGAATTAAATCTAATAACCTTTCCAAACTGAATCGAAGTAGGCTTCAGTCGTGTACTTTTAGATGCCAAAACCTCTTTTTTGCAACCTATTTTGTCTCGAAAAAGACCCGAGTGGAATGCCTTTTGATTTCATGAGAAACTGAAAACTTTGAATTCAAAATCGATTAAAGAAAAAAATCGATTCAAGCTAAAAATTGTTTTTGGAGGGAAGTCTCTCTCTAGGGTTTGTGGAGCCGAAATACCCATCATAACCTATTTCCCCCCTTTTCAAGTGGGGGAATGACTAAACACGCTTTTGGCGAAGTCAATTTCCACCCTCGCCAAAAGGCCCCATGGCGGTAGGACCTTGGCGGCCCACCAGGGCTACTGCCACGCCCTAGGCTGTATAGCCCCAGGGCAGGGCGGTGAGGTTGCCCAGCCGCCCAGGCGGCTGGGTAGCAGACTTTTTCAACCTAGCTATATTTTATTGTAAAATGTGATCTTATATATTTAATTAATCTTGGTATAGAAAGCAGGTTTATTGATTCCATTTATGTTGGTAATTGGTCTTCAAATTATTTTCCGCTTTGTGTCTGTTTTTTTTTTTTTTGCTTTTTCTATGGTCTTGGTCATCGTTGTGTAGAATATGGATTTAGCCAAATATTACTATATTTCTTCCATCCTTCTGCATTTGAAAGTCTTTGTGATGATTGATTTACACATTATTATGATTTAAAATGGTAATACTTTACATTGATAATAGGAAATTATCATATAAAACCCTCCTCAAATTCAGCATGTCAAAGAAAACCCCTTCTTTTCTTTCATTTTTAGCAGCATGATAAAGTCTGAACAAGGCCTTAAACGACCCTCTTCTATACAACTGTCTTTCTCTTTCAAATTTTATTCTTTTGAAATAATTTTTTCCTCTCAAGTCCTAAACCCTTTCTTCTTTCTCTCTCTTTTGGTTCCCACATTTTCGGTCCAACCTCTCTCCTCTCTTTTTCTCTGTCCCCTCGCTCACTTTCTCCTCTCTCCTCTCTCTAGTGTTGGCATGGTTCACATTGACCCCTCCCAAGCAACAATGGGAAGCCCCAATTACTCAAAAAAGCTCACTAACGAGCATTCCTTTAACTTGATTGAATTCTGTGTGACCATGGATCATAGATATGTCAAAGAGTTTGTTGAAATTTAGATGGGAAAAAAATTTGGATTGAGATAAAAAACGTGATAATTTAGGCTGAGAAGAAACATAGAAATTGCAATGAGTTTAGCCTTAAAAACCACCAGGCCAGTTTTGGGCTTAGGATGGTTATACGCTGTCAATTTCTGGTCCATGTTTGAGAACCTATGGTGATCAATGGCTGGGTTTGCATATGATGGTTTCAGGTCAGTAGGTTTTTGGCTGGTAAGAGTTGCAGTGGCTAAGGTAGAGATGTCATTTAGAAGGAGAAAGAAAGGGAGGCAAGTCATTTTAGAGAGAAATGGAGAAGGCTATGGGCTTGTAGGCCAGTGGTGGCATCGTGGTTTCTCTCTCTCTCTTTTCTCTCTCTCTTCATTGTTGGAGAGAGAGAGAGAGAGGGAGGGTATGTTCCTTTGGTGTGACTGGTGTAGTGCTTTATTTTATAGGCTATTTATATTTTTTCAGGTTTTTTGATAAAAGTTTACCAATTTATATCTAGGCCTCCAAATATTTGGTTCACATCTCTCCTCTTGTGTTCATGAAAATTTCCCTGTATTTTAATTGAGACAATGATACAAGTGACAACCTTGGGTCCTGGATTTCTTCCTAGTCTTTTATCACTCTACCTCTCCTCCCCTACCTTTCTCTTTCTCCCTCCTCCCCTTCTTTAGCGCCTTTCTATGTATCCTCTTAACTATTGTAGTCCCATGGCTGCCACGCTGATCAAACCAGCCAAAATTAATTGCAAGTTAACAGTGGTGTATTTGGAGCTGTAAGTATTTGGACCAAGTTCACTCCTACTCCCTGCACTCTTCCCCTTTTCTCTAATGCTTTTGGAGATAAGGCCATACTAGATAGATGTGTAGTGTGCACATGTGCATACATGCGCACAAACACACACACGCAAAGAGAGAGAGAGAGAGAGAGAGAGAGAGAGAGAGAGAGAGAGAGAGAGAGTAGTAGTAGTAGTTAGTAGTAGTTAGTAGTAAGTAGAAGAGAGTAGGAGTAGTAGTAAGGTAAAGGAGGAGAGGAAGGAAGGAAAGAAGAAGTAACGTAGGTTAGGAAGGAAAG